ATCCCTCTTCCACTCCTAGCTGTGTCCCTACCCCCCCCCCCCCATCCGTTCCATCCCTGGGACCCCCTCCCACATACTACCCAGCTGTTTGTACTTGACGGACCCAGCAAACAAGGTCTCGTCTCTCGACCTCTTTCCCTCAGTTCCTATCCCTTTTCCCCTTCCCTCCCTTCCCACTTCTCTACCTCCTCTTCTTCTCCTCTCCCTCTAATTCACATGGTCCAATACCTTATCTCATTTCTCAATGTCTCCTATTCCTGCCTTCGTATCCTCTATACTTTCTCCACGCTCCTATGCCTTCTCCTTTTACCTGTATCTTTTCCATATCGTATTCCATCCCTTTTCCATTCCTCCGTCCTCGTCTCCAACCACCACATTATGTACGGAATAGAACAAATAGGATTTGGGGACATATTTTTCTAGAACTGTTAGTAAAACTACTGAACAAATCCACAAGGGCCGTGACGAGGGTTCGAATCTACGTCCGAGAGGATCCCAGACGCTGCCTTAATCGACTGAGCTACGACATGGTTAAAAGAATTGCAACCGAAGGGTTTTCTGACCATTCTGTGTGTAGTAAAACTACTGCTTATGGCGGTGGGTTTAGGGTACACTAACCGCTCTCAGGATGGGTATAGGAAAGAGTTCGAAACCCCACTCATAATTCACCTTCGTTCTTAAACTAGCTCCAGTAACCCTTCCTCTCATTGTCTATTCCTCATTCATCGATTGATTTGATTGATTGTTGCCACCGGAAGCGGCTAGTTTATTGTGCACCCCATACTCATCCTATGAGCGGTAGCGCAAAAAGCATTACAGAGGGAACAAAAGGTCTTTATTGACGTCGATGCCATCCCCTATCCTCTGCTGCAAACATTTCTCACCTTATGAACTAAACCACGTACCAGAAGATGAAGGGACGACGACGTTTCGGTCCGTCCTGGACCATTCTCTCAATCGACTTGAGAATGGTCCAGGACAGACCGAAACGTCGTCGTCCCTTCACCAAGAAATTATTAATAGTTTGTACTTATTTTCATTAATAAAGTGCCTGAAACTTTGCAAAGTCAATAATAAATGTACAACTATTTTCTAAACAAATATTTTGATTTAGAATTTGATTTACTATTTAATAGTTAATTGTTATAATGTATTTTATCCCCCAAAATACTCCTAATACAGCAAGGAGAATCGTTATATTATTAGAAATATACTTTTTACTTTGCTAGTTTAAAAAATAAAGTTAACACAAACTTTATACTTTCAACAAAGTCATGTTGATTTACTATTTAATAGTTAATTGTTATAATGTATTTTATCCCCAAAATACTCCTAATACAGGGAATACTTACATAATTAGAAATATACTTTGCTAGTTTCAAAAATATACTTAATACAAACTTTATACTTTCAACAAAAAAAAATGTTTTCTCTCCCTGACTAACTTGTCACGACTTTTCCTCTCCCTCATTTGGTATACATATTTTAGCAGAGAAACATGATTTTTTATTCAAGACCTGAAGTCATAGAGGTAAAGCATTTTTCAGCACTCTGTGTACATTAATCTCCACCCCAGCTTGAAAGGAAAGCTGCCGAACAAATAAATTCCTTGCTGCTCTTGTTTGCATCAGATTTCTTTGTCTACTAATGCCGGACAATTCATGGCGGAAAGTGTCCTTGATTAGAGCAGCAAGAAATATTGACTCTGCAGAGGGGCAACAAAAGCAGGAATTCTCTGCCTTTTTCGTGGAGGTGAATTTTGAGTAGGTCAAGTTCAAAGAGCTGAGAGTAGTATGATCCCTAGTGAAGCCCGACTGCTTTGTTGAGGCTGGTGTGTTTTTCAGCTATTGTTATTTATGCTGGGAATTCTGACAAGAGACGCTTGGCTTCTGGCTGTATTATACGAGAAAAGAGAGAGAAAGAGAGAAAGAGAGAGTTGGGATTTCAAGGTGCGTCATTTGAGAATACACTCATCAAATGCATTCACAGGATTGTGAATACGTTTGATGAGTGATTCACAGAATGCTCTTGGAGCATTGCTATAGAAGTAGGAGCTAAGAGTCAGGTGAAAGCGCCAAGCCACCACGACTATATAGCCCTGGGAAGGGGTCAAGATAAGGATTTGGGATGGATGGGACGGGGGAAATGTATACTTAATTTACTTTCTCTAGATATCAAGAGTCTAGACTCTAGACGGTCTAGAAAAACGAAGAGTAAGAGGTGACGCGGGTGAAACATTTCAATGGATAAAGGACATAACTAAGAATATAGTAACACAAAATAATGGATATTGATGGGGATAAGTTTAGAGATAGGAAAGACCTGGGTAAATACTGGTTTAAAAAAAGGATAGTTTGGATTGTTTCCATATATATATATATATATATATATATATATATATATATATATATAGATATATATATAAGGGGACACCTGTTGAGTGCCGGTTAAATAAGCAAAACAATGATGGGAGTCACTCAGCAACAGGCGAAGGGTCACAATAACGTAGCTGCAGATATAATGACCAAACTACACGTCGGAAAACGACGAATCGACGACGTTTCGGTCCGTCCTGGACCATTCTCACACGACTTGGTCCAGGATGGACCGAAACATCGTCGTTCATTCGTTTTCCGACGTGTGCTTTGGTCTCCACAACAACATCACGACTTGTGAATAACTATCAATCGGCAAGTAGCGGTTGGCTGGGTTAGTTTCCTCTAGTGCTCCTGACAAGACAAGTCCTGAGTCATTAACCTAAGTCAAGAAAACTGTGTTGGGATGAAGGGGCACTCCACCTGATCCTTGTTACCCTGAAACTTTGCTTTTTCCTCGTTCCGATCTTCACGATCTGGCTTCATTTCCCCTTTTGGCGTAGAGTGTGCTGCAGGAGAGAGGACAATATGGTCGGGATTCCTGTTCTGAGTGTATGGAGGCCTTGACTGTGAGGCCATTTGGGGCTTCTGCCCCTGTTGGAGTAGATGGCATAAGAGATTAGAGACTGCCTCATAATTACTGTTTGTTCGGTACTGTTTGGTTCCATTTCCGAATCATCATCTCCTTTTAGGTTTTTTTCGGCGTAAGAGAAGCAGAGAGTGGAGGAGGAGGAGGAGGGGCTGAGAGATGAGAGAAGAGAGGGGGGAGAGAAGGAAGTGGGGATTAACTCCTCTCACTGCCATATTATCTTTTATATATCCGACTAGATGTGTTTTAGCTGCTGCACGATTATCTATTTCTGCTGCTGGATACATGTTAACTGCTCGCTGGCATTTCCAGCTTTACTAGTCAGCCGTAAGTCTCAAGTTTAATGGATCTATTCGCCATTGTTTACCGGCAACTGCTTCGCTAAGACTGAAGGTCCTCTTTGTCTCGGAGTCTTGTCATTAACGCTAAGCCTCTTACCTTAGACTTTTATTAATGTAAGTGAGGCTGGATAATATTTGCTCGCCTCTCGTAAGACAAGATGATTCGTCTCGCTACGGATCATCCTATTCCACTTTTTGGAGGGTTTCGGTCGTTTTTGTTTTGTGATCGTGAGGTCCCGTTGTTTATCCGTTGTTGGTTCGCGTTGGTTTGTTTCCGTATGCAGGCGAGGAGTCACAATAACGTGGCTGAAATATGTTGACCAGACCACACACTAGAAAGTGAAATGGACGACGACGTTTCGGTCCGTCCTGGACCATTCTCAAGTCGATTGTGAATCGACTATCGATTTGGGAATGGTCCAGGACGGACCGAAACGTCGTCGTTCCTTCATCTTCTGATATTTGGTTTGGTCATTACATCTTCAGCCACGTTATTATGACGCATCGTCTGCACAACCTGAGGACAGGAGTATAATTGTCATTAATGGGGGTTTGGCGGCCTAGTTAACGAGCCATTATGAGGACGGACGTACGAGGACGGACGTAGGAGGACGGGCGGGGACGAGGACGGGCGGGGACGAGGACGGGCGGGGACGAGGACGGGCGGGAGACGAGGACGGACAGGAGGATAGTTGACCCCTAGTCAACCATCTGAACAAAGCACCGACGGGATCTTCTGTCTATAACTGACGAGAAAACGAACATAAGTTAAAATTTTGCTTGAAGGGTCTTGGGTAGACGATGGCTTTCTACTCAGCAGCTGCATTATAAGGTTACAGGTGCTTCTGTATCCTTATAATGCAGGTTACAGGTGCTTCTGTAACCTTATGATGCAGGTTATAGGTGCTTCTGTAACCTTATGATGCAGGTTATAGGTGCTTCTGTAACCTTATGATGCAGGTTATAGGTGCTTCTGTTACCTTATGATGCAGGTTATAGGGGCTTCTGTAACCTTATGATGCAGGTTACAGGTGCTTCTGTAACCTTATAATACATGTTATAGGTGCTTCTGTAACCTTATAATGCAGGTTATAGGTGCTTCTGTAACCTTATAATGCAGGTTACAGGTGCTTCTGTTACCTTATAATGCAGGTTACAGGTGCTTCTGTTACCTTATAATGCAGGTTACAGGTGCTTCTGTTACCTTATAATGCAGGTTTTAGGTGCTTCTGTTACCTTATAATACAGGTTACAGGTGCTTCTGTTACCTTATAATGCAGGTTATAGGTGCTTCTGTTACCTTATAATGCAGGTTACAGGTGCTTCTGTTACCTTATAATGCAGGTTACAGGTGCTTCTGTTACCTTATAATGCAGGTTACAGGTGCTTCTGTTACCTTATAATGCAGGTTACAGGTGCTTCTGTTACCTTATAATGCAGGTTACAGGTGCTTCTGTTACCTTATAATGCAGGTTACAGGTGCTTCTGTTACCTTATAATACAGGTTATAGGTGCTTCTGTAACCTTATAACACTCTCTTCCATGTTTCTGTTCTTCACTGAGCTCAGTTAACTCTTCGTCTGGAGCTCCTCGACAAGATGTTAACCTTTCAGTCCATTTTGTTGTGGATTAATTTCGTGCTGTCGCTTTGAAGTTTCGTGGCCGCTGGAAAATGCAGTTACCTGTATAAACACCTCATTCTTCCTCATTGTTGGCTGTGTCTCGGTGTAGGGGCCCATGCTGGCTGGGTGCTGGTGTAAGGGGGGCCCACGATGGCTGGGTCCTGGTGTAAGGGGGGCCCACGATGGCTGGGTCCTGGTGTAAAGGGGGGCCCACGATGGCTGGGTGCTGGTGTAAGGGGCCCACGATGGCTGGGTGCTGGTGTAAGGGGCCCACGATGGCTGGGTGCTGGTGTAAGGGGGGCCCACGATGGCTGGGTGCTGGTGTAAGGGGGGCCCACGATGGCTGGGTGCTGGTGTAAGGGGCCCACGATGGCTGGGTGCTGGTGTAAGGGGGGCCCACGATGGCTGGGTCCTGGTGTAAGGGGCCCACGATGGCTGGGTGCTGGTGTAATGGGGCCCATGATTGCTGTGTCTCGGTGTAGGGGCCCACGATGGCTGGGTGCTGGTGTAAGGGGGCCCATGATGGCTGGGTCCTGGTGTAAGGGGGCCCACGATGGCTGGGTGCTGGTGTAAGGGGGGCCCACGATGGCTGGGTCCTGGTGTAAGGGGGCCCACGATGGCTGGGTCCTGGTGTAAGGGGGGCCCCCATGCTCGCTGTTGGCATAATATCCCGGCTCTCTGTCTTTAAATATTTGGGTTTATAATATGTTGACATTTCAATCAAGTAATGTCGCTCTGCTTCCTCTCTCTCTCTCTTCTTGGTGAGCAAATATTTGCCCATGTCTGATTTCTTCATGATTTTTCATCAAGAATGTCGACTCTCTGTCTCTCTCTCTCTCTCTCTCTCTCTCTCTCTCTCTCTCTCAATCTCTCGCTTCTCTCTCTCTCTCTCTCTCTCGCTCTCTCTCTCTCTCTCTCTCTCTCTCTCCCTCTCTCTCTCTCTCTCTCTCTCTCTCTCTCTCTCTCTCTTCTCTCCTCTCTCTCTCTCTCTCCTCTCTCCCTCTCTCTCTCCTCCTCTCTCCTCTCTCTCTCTCTCTCTCTCTCTCTCTCTCTCTCTCTCTCTCTCTCTCTCTCTCTCTCTCTCTCTCTCCTCTCTCTCTCTCTCTCTCTCTCCCTCTTCTCTCCTCTCTCTCTCTCTCTCTCTCTCTCTCTCTCTCTCTCTCTCTCTCTCTCTCTCTCACGTCCTCGTGTCATCATGGTATTGGTATTGTCCTCAGTCCTCTGATACTTGAGCCGATCTGACACATTAACAAAGAAATCTCTCTCTTGTTTTCTATGGATTATTTTTGTGGCCAATATCTGCTTGCATTTGTTTGTTTATTGTGTTTTTCCTTCACAGGATTTGCGATTTATTTTGGAAAATACTTATTAGTATTATTAACATTATTATAATGAAATATTAGTATTAATAATAATAATAAATTATTACTAATAAAAACATTTGTAGTGCCAATAATAATTATTTTGAACGTTATTATTAAAATATTAAACATTAAAGAAAATAATAAAAATAACAGTAAGAAAAGTAATAATAATAATAATAATAATACACAAAAATCACAATAACATGATATATCTAATGAACAAATCCACAAGGGCCGTGATGAGGGTTCGAACCTGCGTCCGCTGGATATTCCCAGACGCGGTCTAGTCAACTTAATAATGTTTTCTTAATAGTAATTGTTTACACATTCCGTATTAGTTATATGTTTGGAAGTGAGACGAGTATGTTGTGTGTGGAGTTGATTGAAGCAGTGTGAGTATGCTGGAAATATATCGGACGTCATTTGGAGTTATAAGTCATTTAGAAGATGTGTTGGGAACTGTTGAAGTGACAGTATATTAGAGATGATAACTGGCTGTCATAAGGCGTAGATAATTGGGCGTATTCTGGCCGGAAAGAGGGTCGAAATTAGGGTGTTCATATAATTGAAAAAAGCACATATTTCTGTTATCTCATATTGTTCCTATGTGTGGATGTATGTAACTAGGCATCTGACCCCCAACCTCAAATAACCATTCTAACAGGATATATATTTACTGTGACATGTCTTTGAAAGTACATATAGCCTATGAGAGGAAAATATAGGCACCTCTGTTTATACCTTTCTCCTATCCACATGACCTATCCTCACTCAATCATCCCCACCCCCTCTTCCCTTTTACTTCTCTCTACCCCTTCTCCCCCCCCTTCCCCTTCTCTATCCCCTCCCTCCCCCCAAAAAATAAATATAATATCATCAAAAGAGAAGACGGGGCCAACATTTTTCAAAGAAGTCGCAGATATTTTAAACTGGGTTCTGGCGAAGGGATCCGCCGGACCCATTAAGCCCTCAATGGGCCTATATACAATATTAGCCGCCTAATACAACAAGCCACAATCTACATACAAACAGCTAGCGTCGCAGCCCGATCCTACCAAGCTCTATTTTATCCCTTCGCTTTGATCGTCCAAGACCATCCAGCGATCTCGCTAATTTGTCGTTTTAAGCTTCGCTGTGGCCGGGGCTGGTCCGCTGGGTCATCGTAAATGACTTGTGTGTCGACGATGTCGACCTCTTTGGTCCCTCTATTACTTTCTCCATTTTATCATCTCCCTACTGGTGCCTCTCGGCCTTTCTCCTATCCATCCGTCTCTCCTCCTCTTCCCCGGCTCAACGACGACCCTTACCGCGTCGTCCCGGCCACAAGTTGGGACAAGGGACGACCCGATTTACATAATATCCCCGAAAACCGCGTCTTTTCTTCCCTAAATCTCCCTAAGGACAGCAGATTTCTCCCCCGCGTGGAGACAAGATTTCCCCAAATCCCCCGCTTGCTTCCACCAGGGTAAAGGAGACCATATCTTTCTGGTCTCTCTATGAGAGGAAAATAGAGAGACCTGTTGCTTCTCTTGCGAAGATAGAGACCTGAGAAACACACACCGGAGAGCTGCTGTTTTGGTACAACGTTCGATGTGTGTTCCTCTTGTTCCCTCTCGCTCGCGATTTTCGCTTGATTTGCTGTTGCTTATCTTGCGAAGATACGTGTGGGTGAGGCGCTGGAGGCAGGCTGAGGGGCGTCTTCAGGCTGTTGAGCTAAATGTGATTTATGTTGACCAAACCACACGCTAGAAAGTGAAGGGGCGACGACGTTTCGGTCCGTCCTGGAACATTCTCAAGTCAATTGTGAGAATGGTCGACTTGAAAATGGTCCAGGATGGACCGAAACGTCGTCGTTCCTTCACTTTCTAGTGTTTTCAGCCACGTTATTGTGATCCTCGTCTGCAAATAGGATTTACATGTGATGAACGTGCAATGTTTCACAGGATGAAACACACGTTAAAACTGTCCGAGTTAGCCACCAAACAACATCCTCAGTGGTTCAGAGTCTGAATACCGCACCATACATTGTCCTCAGTGGTTCAGAGTCTGAATACCGCACCATACATTGTCCTCAGTGGTTCAGAGTCCGAATACCGCACCATACATTGTCCTCAGTGGGTTCAGAGTCCGAATACCGCACCATACATTGTCCTCAGTGGGTTCAGAGTCCGAATACCGCACCATACATTGTCCTCAGTGGGTTCAGAGTCCGAATACCGCACTATACATTGTCCTCAGTTGTGTCGACGGTGATTAATTCCGACCGTCATTGATCGTATTACTGAAATTTATTAATTGAAACGACTGTAAACCTCGTTACTGAAGGTCGCCATTTATCAACTCTTATCATTAGAACTGCTCTAAAACTCAGATTGTATCACATTCATAATCTTCACCAAGACATTATTCATCTGCACAAGAAAAAGTCATGATAATTGAATATCCCCAAAAAACGTCAAGAAAACACTTCTTGACCTGTGACAAGGTAGAATGAGAGCTATAATGACTCCATCTATCATTATAATATCATGCAAGAGGAGTCACACATCTGTGGATCATCCTGTAGAATCACCAGACTCCTAGATGTTGCTGCTTCTTGAATTAGGTTAGGTTATATCTATTTCAGGTCCCACTATCTGAGAATGTAGATTTGATTAAATGTAAACTATGTCAGGGAAACTATTGGTTTACCTGCACAAGTATGTGATGGAATGTAAAAATCTTCAATATTTTTTTAGAAACTATTACCAAAGGTAAACGAATTTCTAAATTCTTCATTCGGGTTTACATCCTGAAATCTTAGCCAAGTACTCTATGTTGGCTGACTGCTGATAGAGCATACAGATGACCTGTTGAGACTCGGGTCCACCACCACCCACTGGATGGGTGTGGGGTCCACCACCACCCACTGGATGGGTGTGGGGTCCACCACCACCCACTGGATGGGTGTGGGGTCCACCACCACCCACTGGATGGGTGTGGGGTCCACCACCAACCACTGGATGGGTGTGGGGTCCACCACCACCCACTGGATGGGTGTGGGGTCCACCACCACCCATTGGAAGGATTTGGAACCACCACCAATCACTTGAAGGGTGTGGGGGTCCACCACCACCCACTGGATGGGTGTGGGGTCCACCACCGCCCACTGGATGGGTGTGGGGTCCACCACCAACCACTGGATGGGTGTGGGGTCCACCACCAACCACTGGATGGGTGTGGGGTCCACCACCAACCACTGGATGGGTGTGGGGTCCACCACCACCCACTGGATGGGTGTGGGGTCCACCACCGCCCAC